GTGTCCATCCCAACAATAAACATTCACTTCTCTCACCCTGGGCTTCCTCAACTCCATATAAGGCACACCTTCAGGTATGTCTGTCCAGGGTGTTCCAGAACATTTCCAGAATTTTCCAGAAACATTTAACTGAGAAAAAAATACCCAGCTAAAGTTGGGGCATACCATCCCATGGACTAGATCAAGGTCTAAATAAAAAGAGAAAAAGGAGAAAGCCAGACACACACCAGAATGCCTCTCTCTGCTTCCTCAGCACTCCACACCAAGCTGCTCCCACTGTCATGCAATGAGCTGTGTTCCTCAACTGTGAGGCAAAATAAACCCTTCTACCTTTAAGTTACTTCTTGTCGAGCATTTAGTCACAGTGACTATAAAAATAACCAATACATACACTAAAAAGCAATAATGATTCATAAACAAAAAACAGCAAACATGATGTGAATATAGACTGCAAAGGACTGGAGAGATGGTTCAATGGATAAGAGCACACAGGTTCAAACCCCAGGACCCACATCCAACAGCTCACAGTGGCCTATAAAACGCCAGCTACTGGGGATCTAACGCCTCTGTCGGCCTTTGCATGTACCTGCACAAACATGGCATACACACAGAAAGACACTCACATTAACTAAAAATAAATCTAAAAAAAGGAGAGAATTCAAGAATCTCTCATTGCAGCAGCACTTTTTGTGAGGTTGTATTTTTGTTTGAGTTTGTGTTTTGTTTTTGAGACAACATACCACTATATAGCCCTGGGTAGTCTGAACCTCACTAGGTAGACCAGGCTAGCCTTGAACTCAACATAGATCTATCTGTCTCTGCTTCCAGAGTGCCTTATTAAGTCATCTCTACATCCAGCTAAAGTATACATTTTGTCTGATGCAACTAACTAGCAATGGCAACTACAGGTTCAAAATTATTACATCTAGGACACTGTCATATAGCCACCAAATAAAAACCACAATTTCACTTTAGATCCTTCTATTCTAAAACCTACATTTTTCCCCTTTAAGAAATAAACACACATGACTCTCAAGTATTTAGTTCAAATTAACATGATCCTGACTAAAGGATAATTTGCAAATATGTTCAATGTTTTAAACACACATGCACGCATGGAAGTGGAGGGGCTCAAGCTCATCTGTTTATCATTTACATAAGTAAATGTCAATTTCAAAATGAAAGACTGGCAAGTGAACTGAAACTGCCTTAACATACACAAACTAGAAAAATGACACTTTACATAAATCAGTGCATGTTATAATAACATTAATGCACACTGTAAAAATTCCTACTTATGGTGATTTAAAATCACAAATGTAATTTTAAACTACTGGTATTGTTGCTGTGTGTTGTTGTTTTACCCTTTTGGGCTATTTTGAGGGGCCAACCATTCAGCTCCCAAATAAATGACACAAGGAGTCTTATTCTTTCTTATAATCACTAAGCCTTAGTTTGGCTTGTTTCTTGTCAGTTTTTCTTAAATTATCCTGACTACTTTTTGCTTCTGGGCTTTCTCCTTTTCTTACTTCTGTATATCTGACTTTCACTCTTACTCCATGGCTGGCTGGGTGGCCCCTGAAGTCTTCCTCCCCTTGTTCTTTTTTTCTGTTTTTCCTTCTACTTATCCTCTCTCCCTGCCAGCCCCACCTATCCTTGCTCCTGCCTCGCTATTGGCTGTTCAGTTCTTTACTAGACCATCAGGCATTTTAGACAGACAAAAAAAAATCACAGCTTCACAGAGTTAAACAAATGCAGCATAAACAAAAGCAACACACTTTAAAATATTACCCAACATATTGTTTGTGCTTTGATCACCTTGACAGTTGACTGGCACTCTGAAAGACTTTATAAACATTTCTATAAACATGCTTAATAATCATATAAAAAGCTTATCAGAAATTTATAAATTACTTAACAAAAGGGAACATGCTAAGGTATCCTCAAGCAAATAAATTATTTCCACAAATATCAATTATATAAAGGCAAAGACAATTTAAAAATAAATTTAAAAAAATAAATAATAGAAAAAAAACTTTTGTAAACCAGAAACTCAGAAATTACCCTGGACTCTCTTCTCCTACACTGAACTAGCTCCTCCTACCCTGGACTCCCTCCTCCCTTGACTCCCTCCTCTACCCTGAACTCCTCCTCCTACCCTAGACTCCTTCTCCTACTCTGGACTCCCTCCTCCTACCCTGGACTCCTCCTCCTCCTTTGACTCCCTCCTCTACCCTGGACTCCTCCTCCTACCCTGGACTCCCTCCTCTACCCTAGACTCCTTCTCCAACCCTGGACTCTACCCCTCTACCCTGGACTCCCTCCTCCTACCTTACTTAGCCTCTATATTCAGCCAACCATGGGCATCAAAAACTTAACTCAATTTCATTTCTCTACTAATTTCTCTTCTTCCCTAATATCACTACTATGGTCTGTTCTTAGACTCTCAAACCTTGGCTGTCCTCCTATACTAAAGTAGTTGGTTTTGTTTTTAAATTCAAAATGATGGTGTTCCTTTGGTTCAGTGGACCTCCCATAGGCTACGCAGATCAAAATACTTAGAACAGGGGGCTGGAGAGATGGCTCAGTGGTTAAGAGCACTGCCTGCTCTTCCAAAGGTCCTGAGTTCAATTCCCGGCAACCACATGGTGGCTCACAACCATCTGTAGTGAGGTCTGGTGACCTCTTCTGGCCTGCAGACATACACACAGACAGAATATTGTATACATAATAAATAAATAAATAAATATTAAAAAAAAAAAAAAAAAATACTTAGAACAGACCCTTGAATCCAGCCTAGAGACATACACTTAACCACCAGCAGGCTAAGTACTGATTTATTATATCACTTATTTGACACCTTAAGTAGGTGACATAAAATGGACAGCACAAGCCTGTCAAGAGGGGGCCAGAGGAGGCCAGATCTCAACTGGAGTGTTGCTCTAGCCTCAGGTTCTCTCAGGAAAAGTCAGAAATCCAGCCTTTCACATGAAGCTCCCACTCTGTGCATGCTAATAACTAACTCGCGCTCCCGTGACAGCCAGAAACTGAAGCCACACCGCCATCTCTTCTCCTCACCAGCCACACAACTACACTGTCTACTGCATCAGTCACTGGAACATTTCTTGCATCTCTGAGGATGCCACACCATTTCCACTAGGATGCTCGGTGCAGCCTCCCGTCCTCCCATCCCACACTTTATTTAGCTTTCTTTCACTCCACAGTTTCATCAGAGCCCCCTCCTCCCTTCCTATTCTCATTGCGCGCCACCTGCACTCCAAATGCTAGGCAGTCACTCCTATAAATTCTGATTGCTCTGACAACTTTCTAGCTCCCAAAACAAAACCACCTAGGGAAGGTCCACTAACTCTGATTGGCAGTCTAAACAGTATTTCTTGCTAACTAACAATTCAGTCATAAACTAATGTAGTTGAAAAGTGCTCCTTTTGATGGAACAAAGTGAAGAGACATACCAACTGTTAACACTGTGGAGCTAGAGACAATACAGACGTCCTTCACTACTTGAACTCTTGCTTCATGAATCCTAATGGTTCCACTCAGTAATCAAAGCAAACCCAACACATGTGGATCATTTGCTACCTTGACTTTTCCTAACCAGCCTTCAGCCATCATAACTGTTTCTCACACCAAACTCAGGAACCAGGTGTTCTCAATAATAACAATAAACATACATATATTCATGAGCTATAAAGTTTAAGGATTGTTATTTACAAAACTTAAATAGACCTTTTAAAATTGTGCAGTAAAATGCACATATCTGCATTTTCATTCAAACTTGTATTTTAACTTCAATTGAGAATTTTTCTTCTCTAAATAGAAATTCATTAAACTAAAAATTAACAATTTTACTCATTTACAAATTTACAAATATAAAGGAAGCTACTTATTAGTACATGACAGTTGACCATAATAGCTGATTGACATTAATGTATCACTGCCTTCTAAGAACTCTGATGCCAGTCTTAAATACATTTCTTTCTCAAATGCTCGTCACATATGTATATACACCATGGGAAATAAGGCTGTACAGAAAAAAACGCTTTATTTTTCCAGCAGCTTTTTCCCAAATAAGAATTTTCTCAGTTACAAAAGCAAAGGGGAAAAAATTTTTTAAAAACCTAAATGTACCTGAGTTGAAGTACCAAAAAATCCCAAATTATAGACAAATGGTATGAAACTATATTAGAAGTACTCCATAAGGTAAAACCAAGAGTCAATGACCCACCAAGCAAGCAGTTATTAACTGCGCTGACAAACGGAGAAAGCCCTCATCACAACACTGTACTGTGCCAATAATTTAACTTAGGCTCACATTTGAACCTCGGCTTTTAAAAATCCTCACGCTTAAGTTAAAACCACTACCAGTTTTCTACAGGGGTTCAATCATTCCGGTGGTCTCACTTGAAATACATAATTCTTCCTCGCCTATTCAAGGACTATCTTATGGGAGAAGAGACACGTTTGGAAAGATGAATTGCCTCCAAAGTCTCCTTTTAGGCTAAAAAAAAAAAAATCAACAACGACTTAAAGGCTGCAAGCAGAGCTTCCACTTCATCCTGAGTATACCCCCCAAGAGCTCAGTTCGGGTTAACTGGCCAAATTATAGTAGTCAGAGATATAAAGATCAGAGCACAAGCCAGGGACTGGGACGTGTTGGGTGAGCAAAGTCTAGCAGCTGTCAAGAGTCAGTGACTTCACAGGGTGGCTGAGACCAAACGCAACACGTTCCCAATGTGGGCACGCTACCTGCCCAGTTCTCCCAGCTGTGCACAGCAGCCGAGTCTGAAAACTAAGGCTTTCTAGCAGCCTTTCCAGGCTACGCTCCACGCAGCTAGCCCTGAGCCAGCAACGTTTAACACTGACATTTTACTGGGGGGGGGGGGGGGGGGGAGAGAAAAAAAAAGCCGTGAACTGTCCCTTACTTTACCCAAAGAGAGAGCCTAAATTTGAAAGTACCAGAATTTGAGAAACAAACGAACCTGTGTCTGTGTTCGTCGGGTCCATGGATCAGGAAGGCTCCGGGGTTTTTAGCCCCTTTGCCGGCATCTACGTGAGGAATTAGCACATCTTCTAAGCCCAGATCAAAGCGTTTGTGTTTGGAAGAGTCTGGAAGGAAGAAGAATGCCCCAAAACACAGGGTGATGAAGGCACTAAGAATAAGGAGAAGGATAAACTTCTCGGAGAGTCTCAAGGTAGCCCGGTGGTGTGGGAAGGAGGGCGGCCCCAGGTTCAGAGGCGGTATCCTACGACCAGACAGGGGCAGCAGCGCTGGGGTAGTCATCCTTAGGCTCTTGGACGGAATACTTTAGAAAGTTCTCATCTTATATCAAACGTACAAGACATCGAACCGTTTATCAAAACCTTGGCAAAAACGGATAAACTCAATTCCCCCTCCTCTCAAAGGATTGTTGTGCTTTTTTTTCTTTTTCTTTTTTTCTTTTTCTTTTTCTTTACGAGGCCACCTCTTTCACGCTCTCTGATAACATCCAGAAGCCCGGGTGACCTCCCAAGTGATCGCTGGTTTCTGTCCGGTAAGATCCTCTCGCCATCTGGCTCTCAGTGCCTCACCGGCTGATCGCGAGTCTCCTCTTCATTCCCGGGAGTGGATCGGGCGAGCGACACTGCAGAGAAGCTGCAAGGTGGGTTCTGCCATGCCCGCGCCCCAGCTCAATGCTTGGAGGCGGCCGGCCGGCCGTCCCAGCGGGCGCCCGGCGACACGCTGACTTGCAGCAGGTCGGTCCACTCGATCGCGTCCGGAGCCTCCGCTCCGCCGCTCCTCAATCTCTCCGCGGTTTCCGAGCAGCGGTGCCGGGCGGAGCAGCAGCGAGAGGCTCAGCCGGGGCCGCGAGGACGACGGCGTCCCGAACACCTCAGCGCCCGCGCCGCCGCGCGCTCTGTCAGGAGCGGAACTTCCTCCTCTGCCGAGCGGCCGCCCCCGCCCGGCTCCTCCTCCTCCCTCCTCCTCCTCAGCGAGCCCCGCCGCCCGCTTCCCGGCCGAGCCCAGCCGCGGGAGCCGAGTCCCTGCGCCTCGGCGGCGTGCGAGATAACCGGGCCTCGGCCCTCGGACCGACAGCCCGGGGCCGGCGCCGGCTCATTCCTCGCACCGCCGGGGAGAGGCGGGCGAGCGGGCGGGGGCGAGCAGCCGCGCCTCGGGCGGGCGCAGGGCGGCTCCGGCTGGGCCCGGTCTCGGGTGGCTCGCACGCTCAGGCCGGCGGCGGCGCGGCACCGCGGCCCGGGGCTGGTCCCTGGCCTCCGGAGGCCCGAGGAGCGCCGAGCGGCTGCGGGGCCGACACCGGTTGGGTCGAGCGGAGCCGAGCGGCTGCGGGGGGCGCGGGCCGGTCTGCCGCCCCGACTCGCGAGTGGGCGTCCCCGGGCGGCGGAGTGTGAGGTGCGCGCGCACGCTCCCGGCCGCCGCGCCCCTCCCCCGCCCGCCGGGCCGCTCGGGCCTGGCCGCCGCCGCCGGGAGCCCCGAGCCCCCGGAAACCCCGGCGGCCAGGCGAGGGGACCGAGCGTCCGGGTCTGAAACGCGGCGCTGGAATCCGGGGATTCCGGAACTGACGGATTCCGGGTACCAAGCCTGGCGCCTGCCTCGATAACACAGACTCGGGCCCGGGGTTCAACTGCAGAGTCCCAAACTTGCACGCGTTCTTGGGCACGCGAGGCTGGATGAAGGAGGTGGCACCGGCCACGTGCCGGTTCCCGGTTAAAATGGCAGCCTTGCCCTTTCAACTGGGTCCCATCCTAAGGAATGCAGCAACCTGTGTAGGACAAGAGAGCCCTCATGGTTCAGTCTCTAGGACACACTCTAGTCATCTTCACCCTCCCTCAAAAGGTAACAGAGATGAATGAGCAGGTGTTAAAACCCCAAAAGACAATATTGTTGAAGTTGAGGCTTAAAAACAATCTGAGTCAATTCTGATATCTACAATATAGAGGAGAACCAGGTTGTGACTAAGTATAATGGGTTTCTTAGCAATGCATGTGTATTCTTGCATCTCATTTGATTTCCGCTTATTTTTTTTCTTTCAGTATTTGCTTTTTGCTCCTTGTGCACATCATGACTGGTGGCTGGTAATTGGTGAGGAGAGCTATAAATGACAGGGGTGGGAAGTCAGCCCGAGAACCCCAGCAAAGAAAACTTCATGTTCCTTGGCAGGATTCAGAACTGCATTTCAGTAGAACTTTCTAGAGGAGGCTCTGCATACCTAACTTCCTACCACAGAACAAAAGAAGTCTTTGCTTTACAAAATTAAAAAAAAAAAATCACAAGACCAAAAAAAAAAAAAAAAGTTAGGGGCCATCGCTCAGGGTGCTGGATCCAAAGTGAGCGAGGTTGGTGTGGGACCCTGGGGATGGATGTGAGAAATTCCTGCCTCCCCTATGGGTGTTTATACTATGTGGCAGTTTCGATGGTCTCTAATGTTGAGGCCCTGAGAGCCAGAGGAAGAGGAACACTGCTTTCCGACCCTTGAGGTCGTTCTTTTCCATGAGAGGGTCAAGGGAAATAAATACCGACCTCTGAACGAAAGAGCAAGTTGTCTAAATCTTGAAAAGTAAATATTACCTAGCTTGACTCCAAACTGTTAGCCACAGGAAACAGCAACCGTAGGGAATCTGCCATACCCTGGTCTACAAATGGGACTTTGGCAATTCTAGGCTTACAGCTGGTGAGGAGTCTTGTACATGCCTAGCCCTCTTTCTTGCCCTTGCTTATTTTCCCCCCATGAGATAAGAGTGTTAATTTTACAGAATTTTGCAGATATTCAAATACAGTGAACTATTTTGTTATACTCCTACACCAGCCTTCAAGCCATTAGCAGTTCTCTCTCCCTCCCCTCCTTTCTCTCTCATCCCACCTCTACCTCCCCAACCCACCCTCTGGCTTCTCCCGCTCCATCTCCCCTTCCATCTTCTCTCACAAGAAGACAGTTATAAGAATCAGTAGTTTTTTTAAAAGCGTGTTGCAAACTTATTCATTGTGATTGCAAGTGTGTAAGAATATGCATATAAATACGGTAAAAGGGAACATTCAGATGAGATTATAGCTCTTAAGACATTGGTATTACGTATAATTTTCCCCATGTGTTCTGTTTGTATTACATTTATAATTAATTAAATTAAAAATTTATAAAGACTGGTACTTGAGAAAGTTAAGGTCAGATTTCAGGAGATGGAGTCAGTCATATCAAGGTGAATGCAGACTGGTCCATCGGAGGGCAGTCTGCAGAGGGCAGAAAATGTGAGCTGGAGTGTGTGTGTGAGTCCGCAACAAAGAGGAATTTCATTCCAGACGCCTAAAGAGAATATTTCATTTTCAAAGCATAGTCAGGCTTTGATCACAGGTGTAGACAAGGTCCCTAAGTGCCAGATAAAATGGTAATTTCCCTTTTACAAATCCATATAAGTTAATTTGTATTTTAGGAGATTAGAATTTAAATTAAATTTTAACAAAATAAAATTTATCCCTCCAGATTTCAGGCTGATGAGGACCATCCCTGGAATCCACTCATGCATTGCAATATTGAAGCTCCTTGTGTTTGTTTAACCTTACGTTGACTCTTCCATTGTTAAAATAAAATAACAATTTTGACCTCGGTCCAGGCTTCCGAGTATCATCATCTAGGTGGGGAGTCATGCATAAAGATGGGGTTTGGTTTACTTCGCCCGACTCTTCCTTGTTTTAACTGGCTTCCAACTTGTCCAAGAAAGGACGCCAGGTGAGAAATGACCGGGTGCTCACACTCAACGCGTGGGGAAATGACTAGGCTCCTGCCTTGCTCCTCTACTCCTCTTTGCGGCTAAAAAGCATTTTCCTTGAAGATCCTGGATAATGTGTAGTTTAAAGCTATGAAATTTTCAGACTATCTTCATGAGAGTCAGCAACCCCAAACAAGCCTAGGCCAACTCTCTGGGCCTAAGGATGGATAGTTTATTTGCTTATAAAGGAGGAATATGTTGAGGACCTACTGCGTGACGAATCTACCAAGTCCTATGAGTAGGATAGGAATCTGCAGTGAGCCTGCAGTTGTGTGGGAGAAAAGGTGGCGAGTGACTACAAGACAGTGGGATAAAGAGGCAGCTTCTTAGGAGAACTCAGGGCACCTCAGTGAGGAAAGGTGGGAGGCATGGGCCACATATCACCTAAACTGAGCCTCCAGCTCAGCAGGGGTCGGTTCCAGCCTAGCATTCAGAACACACAGAATCACAGCCCTCTTCCAATAGTTTGCCTGACTCTGGTCCCGCCATGTCCTTGAGCTGAGAAAGTTAAGGTGGTGAAGTGATGCTGTTGACCGCACTACAGGTTAAGTGGACTCACAATGGCCAGTGCATATCGGCATCATCTTTCCACAGTCAGAAGACTTAGGTGATCGCCTTGGCTACACAGGCAATATTCTGTGGTTTCAGGTAAACGGTGTTTCTCTTTGGATCTATTGATAAAATGGAGCTACTCAGACAAATGTGTGGGACCACGGACTGCAGACAAGAGTACTGAGCCAGCAGCTAAAATACATATATTTCCATCCAACCGCCGCCTTTACTTAACTTGCTTATTTATAAAACCATAATAAGCATTGCCTATTATTAGAACTGTTTAAGGTCAAGTAAATTCTTGTTTGTAAAGCTCTTGTTTGTATGGATCAAGTAAGTTGTTGTTTATAAAGCTTGTGATCTGAGAAGTGGCTCCGTGGTTTCAGAGATCCTCGGGATGCATATAAAAAAGGCAGGCATGAAAGCCTGAGATGAGAGCCTAGTGAGAGACCTGATGGTTACAGGTGCACCCTTAAAGTCATCGGAGGACTTGGCTCTTGCTCTGTTTCTATGTTGCTCCCTGGCTATGAGGTGAGCACTTCCATTTCACCTCGTGTCCCTTGCCATTGTCATCCGGCACCCCTGCCAGAGAACTAAAGGCAGTGGGTTTGTGGGGCCGTGAACCAGGGCCTCAAACATGATAAACCTTTTCTCTCGCTAGCTTGACTAACTCAAGCACGTGTTACAGTTGACAGGAAGCTACTAACGTAATTTCACAAGCGCAGTCTTTTATTTTTCTCTTGGAATTAGCTTCTGTGGCTTGCGACCAAGTATTGAGCAATACCTAGCATGTCTTAACATAGAGGCACTGTGGCTGCCCCTAGTATGCGAAACTTCATTCACTTCAGAAGTGTAAGAGATCAGGAACCGAAAGGAATCCATTCTCCCTGGAACCAAACAGGCTTGCACAGGGGCAGGAGGGTGGACGGAAGAGAACAGCTGTCCCCTTCGGCAGCCAGGGAAAGAAGACGCAAGTTGAATGGGCTGTGCAGAAGTGACAACGGAGAACTGTTGTATTCAGCAGCCTCCACAGACACCTTCAAAATGGGATGTTCATATCCATATTTATAAAGAGGACTCTGATGCCAAAAGAGGTTAAGCGATCTTTATAAATCCTTATGTTAAAGTTACTTCGAGTCTGCTCTGGGCACCTAGCTTGGGAATATATTTTGTTGATTTATGTACTCTGGTACCATACTGTGTTGTAGCCATCAGAGATGACAAATATGTAAGGGAGCCTACACACGACCAAGAATGCAGCTCTGGTGCTGGGAACTCCAGCCTGACTTGCTATTCACATTTACCTGTTTTTTTTTTTTTAACGTGTTCCCTGCTCTTGATTTTTTTCATCCACAATATTAAAAGTGAAAAAAAAAAGCCTCAATTTAAAGATTGCAAACTTCATAGAATTAAACAGATAAGTGTGTTGCTTCCTCTATGGTCGGGATGTAGTAAACATCAATGAGTGTTTTATCCTGGGCACCAGGATGAATGGGGGTTGCTGGGACAAAGGAGGTGGGGAAAGCCTTGGAAAGCCTTGAAGGGTGTCCTGAGGAGACAGAGGACCACTCTACTGAAGGACCACTCACGGCTCTTTAAAGCATTCTCTGCATTCTGATCTTGTTGCACGAGTGAGTGCATATATTACATTATCAGCCCATGGTTCTTGACTGGAACTTATCTAGCAAGAACTCAGTTCGTTCACATTTTCCTCTCCTGCCTCCTGACATACACACAGTAATCCCAGGGTCATCAGAGACTTGTAACAATGCCTTTTGGGTTACAGGTCTAGAAACTAGTGGTTTCTTGCTTTGTATGTAATAATGGTGCTTGTTTATTTGTTTGTTTTATCTACACTGTCTTCTATGGTTTCTATCATCCTAACTCAGTGTTCCAGAGAAGGACAGGTGATTTGTTGACCATGTGGAAAGTAAAAGCAGTTTTGTTTTTGTTTTGTTTTGTTTTTCCTTTAGAGCAGAGCTTCTAGTGGAAGACTAGAGAAAAGAGGAAGAGGCACACACGGGAATATATTTGCCCAAGCTGGTATACAAGGTCAGGTTTTAACCA